AATGACACATGACATTAGAGGTGGTGGCCACAGCGGCCATGTGCTTTCCCTTCTTTCCCACAACCCCAGCATGCCCAAACCCCTGATCCTTTGTGCAAAGCCAATGGCTTTGTCTTAATCAGGCTCACTAGCATGAAGATGTGTTTAGGTACATATCTGCTTCTTGTAGGACAGAGCAAGCAGACCGGGGTCTCCCAGCTGTAAAAAGAAACAGTGGGTGGAGAGGAGACAACAGGAGCCATGGCTGGGGCAGAGGGCTTGGCCAGGGAAGGCTTTTTCCCAGTAAGAGGTCTAGGGAGGTTCCCACTGATTGAGCGCTGAGCTGAGGAGAAACCAAAGGGAGGACCTGCACCCCAACGAGGCTGATAGGCCCCATAGCTATGGAGGCCAATGGTCTGAGGGGACAGACAAACTCTTGGAGATCCACTCAAACTCCACTATGAGTCCATATCAGCAATTCTGCCTCTTCCAGCCGTAAAGCCACCAGTTCCCCAGAGCTTGGCATGCTCAACCAGAGGGATGACCATCCCCTGCTTGCCCCACATCTTTCCTCCCTTCCCACAGCCCATTGACGGGCTGACCTGGGACCATTGCTGACCTTTTTCCACCTCCCACCAGTGGGCTCTGACCCTCGGTTCTGCATCCTTGCAGGGCAGCTGGATTACACCCCACAGTGCAGTGGCCATGGGAACTTCAGCCTGGAGTCATGCAGCTGTGTGTGCATGGAGGGCTGGGCAGGCAGCAACTGCTCCGAGCCCCGCTGCCCCCGGGGCTGCTCCAGCCGTGGCGTCTGCCTGGAAGGCCAGTGCATCTGTGACAATGACTATGGGGGCGAGGACTGCTCCCAGCTCCGCTGCCCTGCTGGCTGTGGCTCCCATGGGCTCTGTGTGGACGGCGAGTGCATCTGTGAGGAGGGTTTCACTGGGGAGGATTGCTCCCAGCTGCGGTGCCCCCACGACTGCTCAGGGAAAGGCCACTGCGCTAACGGCACATGCATCTGCCAGGAGGGCTACGCCGGGGAGGACTGCGGGTGGCTGCACTGCCCCAACGCCTGCAGCGGCCGTGGGGTCTGCCGGGATGGTCTCTGTATCTGCGAGGAAGGCTACGAAGGGCAGGACTGCTCAGCAGGTAGCGGGGGGAATGCATGGGGAGAGCCAGACCCTAATGTATGAGCAAGGGCTTCAAAGTGCCCAGAGCCCCATGGGAACACCATGAACCCTGGGAGAAACCCATACCTGGCAGAGCATGTCACATAGGACCTGCTCAGGCCCCACAGTTTGACTGCCTCCCTGTTGTCCCTGTCCCCAAAGACATCAAAGGCAAAAGTTTGGGAGTCGAGCAAAAAGCCAGCAACGTTCATCCCAACATCAGTGGTAAAGCATTGGTGCAACAGCAGCTGCAGTCAGGTTCTCCTGAGCCTTTGCCTTGCTATAGCAGTTAATACAACCACAGACAGCACATAACCCCCAGCCCAAAGCCCATGTTTGTGTCCCACCAGCAGACCCACGCACCCTTCCCCATGGCCAGGGGGAAGATAAGCCACACACACCCTGATGCTCTCCTTACCTCTGCTCTTCCCATCAGTGGCTCCTCCTGAAAATCTGCGAGTGACGGGGATTGGCGACAGCTCCATTGAGCTGACATGGGACAGCCCCAGGGCAGCCACCGAATACGTCATCTCATACCAGCCAGTGGGGCCGGGGGGTACCCAACTCCAGCAGAGGGTACCTGGGGACTGGAGCAGTATCACCATCACAGAGCTGGAGCCAGGCGTTGCCTACAATATCAGCGTCTATGCAGTCATCAGCGATGTCTTGAGCATCCCTGTTACCTCCAAGGTGATGACCAGTAAGTATCCTACAGCACTTGTCACTTGGTACCCAGATAACCATAGGTGATGCTCAAGCTGGCTCACATTTTCCATGAAAACCTTCTAGCAACAGAAACTTGAGCCTTCAAAAAAAAAATATTTGGGATAATTTTATCCCCATTTATGTCTGTATGGGGATATAGGAAAGGGGGAAATATATCCATGCTCTGCAGAAAGACTTAGTCTGAATGAAAAGCTGAAAGACTAAAAATCATTCAGAAATTTCCAGTGTTTGACTGAAGCTCCCAGAATATGGCCTAAAATATTGCACTTTTTTCCACATGAAAAATATTGCAATATATTTCGTTCCTTCCACTCCTGGGTGGGTTCCCTATGACGAATCCCCATGATATGGGTGACAGCACAGCAAGAGGGGATGCTGCTGTGCATCAGCAGATGTGACTGGGACCATGATGCACAGAGGAAAACGGAAGTATCAAGATGTAATGGCAACCTCCAGAAAGGATCCTCACAAACTAAAGATACAGAGGGCAGTGGGAAAACATAAACTATCCAGACACCCCTTTTGCAACCTCATCACTCACTCTGTTCACATGGTAATGCACTGGGATGCTTCAGTGTTCAGCAGCCCAGGCATTTCCCTCTTCTCCCTCCAACCCACCCTGAGGGGCAACAAAGGGACTCTGTTAACAGAGTCTATGAAAACGTTCCCCATTTTCACTGCCCAGATAACAAAACAGCCATAGGGAGGAGGGTGGGGACCGGCAGCACTCTCACATCCATCCCGCTCTGCTCACCACTGCCTCCTCCCTTGCAGACCTCGCCATGCCGCAGGGACTGAAATTCAAGACCATCACAGAGACGACAGCGGAGGTGCAGTGGGAGCCCTTCTCCTTCCCCTTCGATGGCTGGGAGATCAGCTTCATCCCCAAGGTACTGCCGCCCCACGCATGGCATTGCAGGGTACACTCGGTCACCCTAAAAACATCTAGTGAGCGGAGCCTAAATTAGCTTCCAATTACCCCCCCAAAGAAAATCAACCTCTGTTTGCAATTTGTGTGCTTCGCATCGGACAACACCAAACACCTCAATCTCCAATTGCCAGCTTGTGTTTCCCCAGTAGTCTTTGGTATCAAGATATACATGTCCTCAAAAAATTCCCCAGTAAAATCAAGAGATAAGCACATAAATAAATAAACCTTCCAGCCTCACTGCCTCTTGCTGTCACCTCCTCTTTTTCCCTTCCATCTCCTTTGCCATGACCCTCCGTCCTCCTCTGCTTCCTCACCCCTGCTCTCTGCATGCTGAGCTACCCAAAGCAGCCTGGATCAAACTGAGCCGCCAGCTCTCAGACAACAACCTTCAGCATCCCCGAGTCACATGCACAGCTAATTCCTGCCACAGAATTTTAATCACAGTGATAAACAGGTAGAAATTGTGCCAGAAAAGATGAAAGGATGAAAATGTTGCCCTAAATATCGCATATTTTCTATGCACAGCAACAAAAATTGTACATCAAGTATTTAATCTATATTCATAATTTCTACACCATTTAGCCATAAGTATAGCTTCAATTGTATATGAAGCCTCTTTACAAGAGCATTCAAGCCCCAGCAGTAAAAGAAATGCTGATTAAAGGCTCAATTATGACATTTTCAGTTGCACAAACCCCTCGCTGGAGTCAAAGGCAGCTCTGGGCAGCAGAGAACTGCAGAACTTGGCCCCAAAGTTTTAAATGCTCTTAACTGTAAAGTATAATTATTCAACATGAAGCAAGGGCCTGATTGCTTTAAATAACTCATTCTCTCATTTCCAAAAAGGCTGGAAGGATCTGGGTGCAATTTTAGGTACATTCACACTCAAACTGTGTCAGAAGTCAAAGTTCAGGTACTGCAGTTATAAACTCCGGGATAATTTTCATTCACCATTGGGATAAAAGCCAAAACATTACGGAAATATCGGGAAAGAGGTTTTAGTAGCAAAAAAATAGCTATCTTTCAAAAATTTCACTGATCCTCAGGAATTAAGCTCAATAGCATCCCCCTGAAGCAGATCAATGGGGATATATCCATTTTAGGGTGAAGAATCGCCAGGATAGAAGCAAACTTCTCCCTGTAGGGTCATCAATGATAAGTTTTTACTCAAGCCAGCCCAAAAATACAAACTGTTTGTCATCTGTTCCATTTTTAAGCTTAAAACTTAAAACCATGTGGAAACATTTCAAGATTTAAAGCAACAGATAAGGTGCAAAAGGGTGTTTTTTCCTGGATGTAGGTTTTTGGGGTGGGGAAGGGGTGTAGCTTGCCAGGCTTTGAAGTTCTCACATCTGTTGGTCAAGCACATGGTCCTCTGCAGTAAAGGCACAGCCATGTTCCTTCCCATTGGCTGCTGAAATTGGACTCTCTAGTGTCCCCATCACTAGGTTTTCTCCTAAAATAAGGCAGAGGATGCTGCCTCCTTCACTGTCTGGAAGCAACACTCACTTGGGCAAACATTAAACCATTGCCACACCTCAACTAAAAACAAAACCTAGTCCCATAGGCTAAAATCAACAGAGACATAACAGCAGCATCACAAATAACCTCTACAAGCAAAATCGAGCTTGTTCTATCTTCCTGAAAACTGGGCAAGAGGATGCAATTTGGTCCTCAGCATCCCCACGAGGATGCTCGCATCCTCCTGCAGAGCAATCCTCCTTCCATGGTCCCCGTGATGCTCTTGCCCCCCAAAAGCCAGGTCAGGTAGGGTTTGCCTGTCTGCTCTGTGCACTGAGGATGGGGAGGGGGGAAAGATGAAGCAAAGACAAATTTAGAAAAGAAAATTAGGAAAGGTAAGATGGCAATTTATGGCCAAAATGGAAGATTTCCTGTTTAATGAGAAAAGAGATGAATATGAATTGAGAGCTATGTGCAAAGATTTGTTTAGCGTGTTATTAGTGAAGACGGCGACAAGAAAAGATCCTTTGTCCAAATACTGGCAGGAAAGGTGACATTTGCAATTGCTGAAAGCCTTACAGTTTTTCAGAGCAAACACAAATTATAACGAGTTTAATAAAGATACTTAAAAAACAAGGGATGGAAAAATAAAGACCTTACAGTTTCATACCTGTATATGAATAACAGAAGGCTCCTGGCACCTGAATAACAAGGAAAAGTAGTCTAGCCCAGGCTTTGGTTTTATTATCTTTTCTCTTCTGGAGAACAGCAGACACACAGATGGCAAAATACAGAAATTGGCGGGGGGATGGGGGAGAATTTCTCAGTCCAGCAATGTAGGTGCTCCATGCTTGGTGGGTTTCTGCACCTCCATGGTGAGATGTGCCAGACAAAGGATGCAATTTGGGGATGCAGGGCTGGGCATGGAAGGATGCAACATAGGGCCACCTCCTCTCCATGCATCAGTCACGCCAAAACACCTTTTTTTTTTTTTTTTAATGCTTATTTCCACTTTCCGGCAGAATAACGAGGGTGGTGTGATCGCCCAGCTCCCCAGTACCGTCACCACCTTCAACCAGACGGGGCTGAAGCCGGGGGAAGAGTACACCGTCACCGTGGTGGCCCTGAAGGAACAAGCCAGAAGCCCTCCCACCTCCGACAGCGTCTCAACCCGTGAGTGAGCCCAACACTGGACAGCACAGCAGTGCCCAGATCTTGGTCCCCAAAATAAGATCCCATCAGCGAAAGCAGCCTGGCACTGCATGGGCAGGGATAAAACTAGCACCACCCAACTGCCTAAGCTACAGGTGCATTGCAGTGACAGCTTCTTCATGTGGTATTGTGTCCCTCTCCCTCCCAAATTCCTGTAAGCACAGCAGCTGTGTCAAGGTTATTGGGGTGGGGAAGCAAAGGCTCAGGTCCGCTTTTATTACACAGATGGATAAACTCCTCTTCCCCACTAATCTCGTGTTTCAGATGCTGGACCCCCCTAAGAAACATCTCTATAAATGTATTGCCTACTCATATATAACAGCTCAAAACTTCCACCTGCTTTTGTACCACCAAATGCCCTCTACTCCCACAAATTCAGTCAAATCAAGCAGCAGGGCAGGGGAGATAGGAGGAACAGCACATCCCTTCGTAACCAATTTATTCGACCAGTCACTGGTCCATCCCATAGGCTAGAGGAAATTCTACTGGGTCTTCCCCTCACTGAAGGAGACGTGCAACGGGCAGAGCTCACTGGGGAGAAGAGAGGCTCTCCATACCAGATCTGCTGCAGTCTGCCTTGCAGCCAGGCAGACGTCTACCTCCATCCAAGCTGTTGCAAACGGAAACAGCATTTAAATAGCTGTCAGAGGGTTGCAACGAGGTGATGCTCTCTCCAGGCTGCTAATTTGAGGCAATGGTGAGAGCAAAGGGAGGGCCCCTCCACCAGCAGCAGCTTGATGCAGGTCTGATCTTCCTCAGCACAGTCCTCTCCTCCTGCTGTGCCTCCACGCTCAGCTCGGTGTGGCTTAATAGAGACATCTCCTGGTCAAGCCCAAATCTTCCTTTCCCTAGGAAGTCAGGAAAAAATAAAAAAAAGAGGCTAGTACTTCAAACTTAGTGGTTGACCTTTGCAGGGGAGTGCAGATGGAGTGGTGGGCTTCCAGCTCTCTGCTCGGTGAAGGCATCCCCATGCTGGCCTGTCTGTTTTCCTCTGTGGCACTCCTGTAGCTTTGCCCCCATCATCCTCATTCTGCCTCAACACCTTGTGCCGGGATCAAGCAGCAAAGCCATGGTTTCATGCTGCACAGCTAAGCAGAACTTGATGCTCCCCAGCATCACCTGGATGACTGGACAACATGAAGTAGTTGGAGATTCAGGGTTTGGACAAGTATGTCCTGGTCCTGGCTAAACTGGACACCCAGCTCCTACCTAAACACCACAACTCCCAGCTGTCCTCCATTTTCCATTGTTTTTTTGCCCCCAGACCTCACCCTACTGCTCCCAACTCCTTCATGTGTCTTTTTCTAACCCTCCCTGGTCCTTCCCACCCCTGCCCGCACACATGTCCCCCAGAACTTCCCACCCTGGGGTGCAGCATTCAGCACATCCTTATTATATAGTGTCATTTTCTAATACATACAATATATTAGAGGTACTTGCATGCAGTATAGCCTGAATAACAGAACCAGCATGGGTTTTTTCACCCAGCTTGTGATCATGTAAGTGATAAAACAGGCTGCCCAGTAGGCTCTGTGCATCAACACTGCTATGGCACAGGAGCAATGGCCAGGCTTGGCCCATTTGTCCACCCATGCAGCAGTTTGGTCCTGCTGGACTCAAAGCATCCATCACCCAGACTTGAGCCCATGATTTCCAGAGGTCAAGTGTTGGGGGATATGGAGAAGGGAAGGGCCCACTCCTCTGCAGAAGAAAACAGAAATGTCCAAAATGGTCTCCCAGTAGATCCCTGGTATGAATTTAGCTAAAACCCCTTTATCTGAGAGGGTTTGGTGGACACCCACCGTAGCCCCGCACCCAGCTAGTTATGAAGACTCACCAATGCAGTTGCGTTTTTTTCTCTCTCCCCACTGCTAAGACATCAACAGCTTTACAAGCTGATCCCTCAGCTTAACCAGGAACTGGCACCAAAGCACGAACATTTCTAGAGACATTCCTCGGTTCTCATTGCTTGGATCAGTCCTTGGCCCCACGTTATTTAACACATTGTCAACGCCTTTCAAAAGACTTAATATCATTGCTGACACATTTTGCCAGTGATGGAAAGGCTCAGAAAACAGTAAATTGAGTGGAAGGATATCATCAATAAAAGCAGTTTGAATGGTTCAAAGAGCTGGACACAAAGGAAAGCTATACTTTTTTCAATGCATTGTGAAGTACAAGCAGTAATCTAGGAGCAAAGTAGACCACAGTTAGACATAGAAGATTTTATCCTGGGAGATGCCACCTGAAAAAGCCAGGGAGGAATTGTTGCCGATAACCAACTCAAGAGAAGGGCATGAGTTGCCATATAAATGTAATGGGCATTGATAGGAGAGCTGCTGGGTCCTGCTCTGGTGTCCACGGGTTGGGAGAGACATCAGTGGAGAGGGTTTAGGAAAGAGCCAGGAGACTGGGACAAGGAACTGGGAACCTACCAAGACCAAAACACCTGAGTACCTTGGGGTGGGGGGTCGTGTCTCTTGCCTGTGCCACCTTTCTGCCTTGTACCCAACTGCTAATTCAGGCCACTCTGAAGGTCAGGTTGAAGCATATCTGAAGCTTGGTGTCCCAAAAGTTGCCATCTTTCCCT